CCATCCCCCTGTACTTCTTCACCCGCACCCCGTCCTGGAGAGGGGAGGGGGGTGGGGGGTGAGGGGAAGTGGGGAAGAGGGTTGGGGAGGGGAGGGGAGGGGAGGGGAGGGGAGGGGAGGGGAGGGGAGGGGAGGGGAGGGGAGGGGAGGGGAGGGGAGGGGAGGGGGGGAGGGGGGGGGGAGGGGAGGGGAGGGGAGGGGAGGGGGGAGGGGAGGGGAGGGGAGGGGAGGGGGGGAGGGGAGGGGAGGGGAGGGGAGGGGAGGGGAGGGGGGGGGGGAGGGGGGACTTATCATCTCAATTCTGCAAGGAGCCACACGCCCCCTTGCTGCTTCACTCTCACCCCGCCCTGGGAGAGGGGAGGGGGTGAGTGGGACAGAGATGAGAGAGGGGGTACTAACATTAGGGGATGGAGAATACGGGAGAAGAAAGGAGTGAACAACACAATGAAAAGAGCATGCAGACATGCCAGCCGACTCATAAGTACTCTCAGTCAAGAGCACATGGCAGCCGGTCAACGCCAGTCAACACCAGTCAACGCCAGTGACGCACCCGAATGTAAGTTTGCCCGGGCGCCTCATCGGTGCCTGCGAGGAAGCTTCCGACCATGACAGAGGAGGCGCCGAGAGCGAGCGCCTTGATGAAATGGCCCGTGTTGCTCACCCCGCCGTCCGCTATCACTGGGATCTCCCCCATTGCATGTGCGAGACTTGCTACCTTGAACACCGCTGCTGCCTGCCGTGATGAAGCATGGTGGGTGGGAAGAGAGAGGGGTATGGAGTGGGCCAAGAGAGTGAGCAGCGCCAGAGGGGCGTGGGGGGTGTTGCTCACGGCACGTCCCCGCCCGCTATCACCGAGATCTCCCCCATTGCGTGTGCCAGGCTCAAAGCCTGAACTCAAAGCCTCGCACCCATGCTCGTCTTCACCTATTCCCTGTCACAGCGCCTCACCTGTCCCCTGCCCACGGCGCAGACTTCCTGGGTGGTACAGATCGAACCCGACCCCATGCCCACCCGAATGCCGTCCGCGCCCCCCTCTATCAGCCTGCGCGCCTGCACGGGGGGAAGAAGGGGGGGAGTGGGGGATTGGAAGGAAAGCGCAGCGATGGAGACGACACGGGTGAAGTGGCGGGCAGAAAGTGACACAAGGAAAGGAAACCATGCGTAACCTGCTGTGCAATGCACCTAGCATGCCACCCTCCTGGCTGTGCAATGCACCTAGCATGCCACCCTCCTGGCTGTGCCCCTCATCTGCCATGCCAGCCACATACCTGCCGTGCCCCCCACCTGCCGTGCCTCTCACCTGCCGTGCCTCTCACCTGCCGTGCCTCTCACCTTCCGTGCCTCTCACCTGCCATGCCTCTCACCTGCCGTGCGGTAACCACATTCCCTGCGATGATCTGCAGGTCGGGGAACTGGCGCTTGCAGTGCGCTAGCATGGCCAGCTGGTAGGACGAATCTCCCTGTGATGAGTCCAGCACCACTGGGGGGTGGGGGAGGGGGAGGGGAAGGGGGGAAGAGGGCGGGGGAAGGGTTGGGAAGAGGTGGGAGGGAGAGAGAGGACGTGAGTAGTCTGCTGCAGTGCGCCAGCATGGCCAGCTGGTAGGACGGATCGCCCTGTGATGAGTCCAGCACCACTGGGGGGTGGGGGAAGGGAGGGGGAATGAGGCGGGAATTGGGGAAAGGGGGTGGGCAGGGAAGGGGTGGGGGAGAGAGAGGAGTGGCTTTTCCAAGGCGCAACACTAATAGCCAGCAGAGGTGGGGAGAAGGGAGGGGAAGAGAGAGAGGAGGTGAGGAGTAGTGAGGAAAGATAAGGACGCCAGGGAGCAGAGCGGGATCAGATTTTGAGTCGACTCAAAAGCAGACGCCAGGGAGCAGAGCGGGATCAGCTTTTGAGTCGACTCAAAAGCAGACGCCAGGGAGCAGAGCGGGATCAGCCACCGCACCCCAACCTACCAGCATCAACCCCAACCTCCACCAGTCCCGCCACTCTCTCCCGGTAAAGAAAAGAACAACAAAGAAAAGAGTGGCCAACAATGAACAAACAGCTCCCACCTACCGGCATCAACGCCCGCCTCCACCAGCGCCGCCACTCTCTCGCGGTCGCTGTCCCGTGTGCCCACAGCGGCGCCCACCAGCGCCCTGCCGTCCGCCGCCAGGGAGGGTGGCCCGCGTGGGGGCAGCGCCAACTGCTGCTTCACCAGCGCGCGCGTGAGCAGACCCTTGAGCGCGCCGTCCTCCGCGACCAGCGGGATGCTGCTGCGCTTCGACTCCTGTGCGGGTGTGTGTTTGGCGGGGGGGAAGGGGACGGGCAGGGGTCAGTGGGCAGAGAGGATGGGGCAGCGCCAACTGCTGCTTCACCAGCGCGCGCGTGAGCAGGCCCTTGAACGCGCCGTCCTCCGCCACTAGCGGAATGCTGCTGCGCTTCGATCCTTGGAGAAGAGGAAAAACGGGGAATGGGAAGGGATGGGGAGGGCAGGAGGAATGGGGCAGAAGAGAGGAGAGAGGAGAGAGGGGGCAGGCGGCAGGGCAAGGTGGTGGTTGAGCAGCGCGCGAGTGAGCAGACGTTTGAGAGCGCCGCCCTCTGCCACTAGCGGGATGCTGCTGCGCTTCGACCTCTGTGCGTGAGAGAGGAGGGGAGGGCAGTGGGGATGAGGGCAGCGCGAAGCGGGTTGCGGTGGGGTGAGAGTGGCGTGCTGTAGAGTGTGCAGGCAATGCAGGTGGGCGGGAAAGCGGAGTGCGGGAGGAGTGAGAGGTGTAACAGGCGAAGAGCAGAGGGCGCAGAGGCACCCTTCCCACACACATGGCAAGCAGCAAGCAGAGCGCTGCAGGCAGGCAGACAGGCACTGGGCAGCCCCACCTGGAGAAGCTTCTTGGCGTCTTCGTGCGAGCAGGAGGGCGCGGCGGTAACGAGGTCCTTGAGGGGCGTCATCACGTCCGATAGCAGCGCCGCGCTGGGGGGAGATGGGAATGGGAACGGGGTGATGGGGACGGGGGAGGGGAGACAGAGAGGAAAAGGGAGGGAGGGAGGACGGCAGGAGGCGGCAGTGAGTGAGGGGGACATAGAGGGCACGGGGAAGGAGGCACGGTGCGTCAGGATGCCAGGAAACGCCGCTGCTTCTCTGCCCACTTGGCGCTGCTTCTCTGCCCACTTGGCTCTGCTTCCAGTCTTCACCACCTCTCCCCCCCCCCACCCCCACCCCCAACCCTTTGCTACCCCCCTCCCCAACTCCGCCAATCAATCATTTCCTCACTCTTCCCCCCCTCCCCCCCCCCCTCCCCCCCCCCCCACCACCCCCCTCTCTCTCGTCACCCCACCTGGAGTCAACGAAGTCAACGTCGTTCTGCGTGACCACGCCCACCAGCCTGCCGCCCGCGCTGCCGTCGTCCGTCACGCACACGGCGCCCTGCCCGCCCGCCTCCACCAGGTCCTGCCACGCCTGGCGCGCGGAAGGGGGAGAGAACGTGGGGGGCGGGAAAGGAGGAGGAAGGGAAAGGGGGGGGAGGGGAGAGAAAGGGGGGGAGGAAACAGGTGGGGTGGGGGAAAATGGGGCGGGGGATACAGAAGGGAGAGTGGGGGGCAATGCCTTAGGTGAATGGCACAACAATCCACGTGACTGGCACAACAGTCCACGTCATCATTCACATTGCACGCCACTCTCGCACATGCTATGCTGCCACCTACCCACTCCCGCATCCCCCCTTCCCTTCTCCACCCCTCACCTGCACAGTGCTTGTGGGCGGCAGAGTGGGCGGCGCGTTGACCACTCCCACGCGCCACTGCTTCGCCTGCCGAATCAAATCCGCTTGCTCCTGGACGCTGTTGTTGTAATGGATAAACCCCATCCCCCCCACCGCCGCCATCGCCGCCGCCATTTCCGCCTCCGTCACCGTGTCCATCGGCGAGCTGACAAGTGGCATACGCAGGGAGATGCCACGTGTCACGCGCCCGGTCAGGTCCACGTCAGACGCGGCGAAGCTGATGTGGCGCGGATGGAAGATGCAATCGTCGTACGTGTACGCCACGCCCTGCAATGCCACGTGGCAAAGCACAATTGAAGAGGGTGGTCGGGAAGAGAAGGGGACGCGCTTCGCAGCGGAACGAATCGGACGGCGGAGAGGGGCAGAGGCGCGCAGGGGCGCTTCGTAGCGGAGTGCCACGTGGCGGTACCTGATTGAAGATCTGCTGCGCCGTGAAGCCATCGTTCTCGAGCTCCAGCAGTTCCGCCGCTGCTCCGCTGCTCCCCATCGCGCCCGCCGCCGCTCACGCTGCTGTTCGCTCTGAGTCGGCTCAGACAGTACCGCCACTGACGCAACCGATGATTCGTCGAAACGACGTAGTTATTAACTTTTAAGCGCGACAATGCGTAGCTCTGGGCGGTAGATCGCAGCTTGCGTAACGTGATGGAGCAGCAGTGGAGGGAAGGGGGACCAAAGTGACGGGAAGAAAAGTGTAGAGGTTTTTGAAGGGTGCAGGGTTGGGGACAAAGACCAGGCTGATGGAATTGTTTGGTTTGCAGAATGATTCGGTAGTAGAGTAGTTTTTTTCCGGGTGTAGTATTTCGTACAGATTACTAATTTGGTCTCTACGCCATTTTTCGCTGAGTCAGCTACACGTCACCTGCAACACAAATTCGTCCCTTTCCTGCCACACATTTCACTGCCCTTCCCTCCCCCCACTCTCACACCCCGAATTCCCTATCTATCACCCATCATCCCCGATGCACCAACCCGACGCGATACACCCACAGGCTCAAACATTCCGCAAGGCACTTGGCTCCTAGTGAATCGTGATGTGACCTCGAAGACCAAGTAGCAAAGCATCGCCACGCACGTCAACGGAAACTGCGCGCAGCCTTCTCCTTCCCGCTAGCCTTACTTCCGTCTCCCTGCTTTCTCCCCAGTCCACAACAATCATCCACACGTCGTCGACTCGCTTCCGCGCGTCACTCATCCCCCTCCTCCACCGCTCTCCACCACTCTCCGCCGAGAGCGCGCGCGCCATGGGCATCGCGACGTTGGACCTGCGTCCGGGGGTGGGCCTGGGGCCCTTCTCGCTCGGTGCGCTCCCCCAAGCCCGCTCCTCTTACTCGTCCTCTTCCGCTGCGCGCGCTCTGCGCTCCCCGCTACGGAATCTCCCCCGCCCGCCGCTGTCCCACCCGCGCCCCCCTCGTTTCCTTGCTTTCTCTCAACCGCTCTCGCTCTTCACGGGTTCTCTTCGCGTTTCTTCGTCACCCACTGGTAACCACATTCCCGCTGCTCTTTCCCCCACACGTGTCTCCCCTACTCGTGCTGCACCTGCTGCCTGTTTGCGTTGTTCGGGCGCGTGTCGGCGCGTGTTTACGCGTGCCGTGCGAGTGGCGAGCAGGCATGGCGGTGTGCGAGGCGTTGGCGGAGGTGGAGGCGCAGCTGGGCGTCTTCGACAGCATCGTCGTTAACTACTGCCACCAGGTGCGTTGCTATATTCCCCCCTATTTCCTGGCTCATTGGGCGCGGCGTAACTCACAGCCGCACACACTCGACTGCTGTCGTGCTGCCACCAGGTGGGGTGTAAGCATTTGTTTACAATTCTCAAAAAACTCCTGAGACCTATGCCCGACCCTTCCCCGGATCCCCCCCTATCTCCCGCCCCCAGGAGCCTCTATCGCGGGACATAGTCATCGCCTTCCCGCACCTCGGTTTCCGCCTCTGCTTCGACCCGCACGTGCAGGTGCAGACTCGGCAGGTCACCTGCTCCTGCTACGCCCAAGCCTTGCATGTGCAGTGCAGTTAAAGAGCTTGGGGTAGGAACTAGACGCACACATGTAGGTCAGGATTCTCGCACTCTCCCACGTGCCCTCCACATTTCTCCACGCCCTCTCACTCTAATGCCGCCTCTCATCCTTGCGCATCCATTCTTCTCTCTCTCACTCCTCCTCAGCCAGCCCCCACCCCCATCCAACCCCCCCCCAGCGCCTGCACCGCATAGACGTGGCGGACATCTCTCGTCTGCACCTGCGATTCGGAGCCTCGCTGCTCGGGTATGCCTGCCGTCCCTCCCTTGGGTCCCGCCACCTTCTTGCCAACCCTTGGGTCCCGCCACCTTCTTGCCAACCCTTGGGTCCCGCCACCTTCTTGCCAACCCTTGGGTCCCGCCACCTTCTTGCCAACCCTTGGGTCCCGCCACCTTCTTGCCAACCCTTGCCTCAGCGCCACCTTCTTGCCAACTCTTGCCTCAGCGCGCCGCCCTCTTTCCCTCTTCCTCCTCTCTTCTACCCTCTCCTTCGCCATCCCCATACCCTCGTCTTCCGCCTTTGCCCCCTGCTGTGCCGGGCGACTCTCTCCCTCCCCCCCTCCGCCTTGGGTACTCGCATCGCAGAGGCCCCATGCAGGCGCCCACGTTCGCGCACGTGTATGCTGTGCTCGGTCACACCTTCCCCGGCGCCTACAGCGCTCAGTCTTCCTGCTACACCCTCGCCTACCCGGTACTGCTCCCCCTTGCCCTGCGCAATGCACGCTCTGTCCCCTGCCCTGCGCCCTTTCCCCTGTGCTCTGTGCCCTGCGCCATGTGCACGGCACCCTGGCCCTGCGCCATGTGCACGGCACCCTGGCCCTGCGCCATGTGCACGGCACCCTGTCCCTGCGCCCTCTTTTCTCTGCCCATTCTTGCCCCTACTGTCTCCTTCCTTCCCCCGTGCTCTTTTCCCCCTCTGCCCCGCCCTCCTCGCCCATCTCAACCCCTCCGTGTTGCCAGGGCATGGCTTTGCTCTTCCCCATCGCAGCGCCGCACCAGCACCTATTCCACCACCCCACACACGGTCAGGGCCTTCCTACCTCACTCGCTCATGCCCTCTCAACGCCACTCTCACGCTACCTCACTCATACCCTACCCTCGCGGCTCCCCGCGCCTCTCTCTCCCCGAATCTCTTTTCGCCCCCCCCTAGCCTCTCGCTCTCTCTCAACGCCCTTGCTGCACCCCGCTTTGTAAGCCGCATCACTAGCTCGTCTGCCCTCTCTTTTATCCGCCCTCCTTGCGCTGCTCCCCTCCTTCGTGGCATGTCCTCTTAATCCCCAAGCTGCTACACGCCCCCCTCCTCCCTCCCATGCGTCTTTCATTTCCCCCCCCCCCCTCCCCTCCTCCCGGACCTCCCAATGCAGCTGCCAGACGGCTCAGCGCCCTGCCTCTCCCAAGTGCTGCTTTACCTGCCGGGGGAACCCACTTTCCACTCCTCTCCCCCTCTCTCTTTTCCCAACCCTTCCCCCTTCTCCCTCCCCTTCTCCCTCCCCTTCTCCCTCCCCTTCTCCCTCCCCTTCTCCCCTCCTCCCCCAGACCTCCCCATGCAGCTGCCAGACGGCTCTGCGCCCCGCCTATCACAGGTGCTGCTGCACCTGCCGGGGGAGCCTGCTCTCCCTGCGCAGGGGGCGGGGGGGACAGGGGGCGTTGGGGGCGAAGGGGGCACAGGGGGGACTGTCGAGGGCGGGGAGGGGGAGGGGTTGCGGCGGGCAGCAGAGCGGTTTGCGTCGCTGCCGCTGGTGATGGCGAATGGGGCCGTGTACATGGAGGCCCTCGTGGTGCAGGTGAGGGTGGTGTTGTGGCGCATGGCCACTGTATTAAACAAGTATATGAGCCTGCACGCGAGGGTGATGGCGACCGGGGCCGTGTACATGGAGGCCCTCGTGGTGCAGGTGGGTGCGGGAGATGAGACGAGCTTGTGGGAGAGGTGCGGGTAGTGGTGAATGGGTGTTGGCGAACGGTGCCGTGTACAGGGTGCATGTGATGTGAGCGACAAGGCCCAGCCCGGCCCAGAAGGCCAGGCTTCATGTGGGGCGGGCGGAAGGCAGGGGAAATGGGCGTGCAGTGCAGTGCAGGTTGGCGACCGGTGCCATGTGCATGGAGGCCCTCCTGCTGCCAGTGGGATGGTCACGGATGCAATTTGTTTTACAATGCCATTCCCCTACTTGCTTCTTATGCCCTTCCCTCCCCACCCTCCTTGTTTCCCCAACCTGCTGCTCCCCCCCCTCTCCTTGCTTCTCTCCCTCTTTCCTTGCCCGTATGCTCCCTCTCTCCCCACCAGCTGGGAGAGGCAGTGCTCTTCTCACAGGGCGGGCAGCGCATTGCCTTTGGGGACTCAAGGAGGCACCTCAACCCCCCTTCCTCCCTGACCCTCTCTCCCTTCCCTGCCCCTCTTCTCTCTTCCCCCATACTCGCACCAGCTGGGAGAGGCAGTGCTCTCCTCACAGGGCGGGCAGCGCATTGCCTTTGGGGACTCAAGGAGGCACCTCAACCCCCCTTCCTCCCTGACCCTCTCTCCCTTCCCTGCCCCTCTTCTCTCTTCCCCCATGCTCGCACCAGCTGGGAGAGGCACTGCTCTTCTCACAGGGCGGGCAGCGCATTGCCTTTGGGGACTCCGCGCAGGTCAGCTGCCCCCATGCGCTCCTCTCCTCCTGCCCCTCTCCGCCCACCTGCCACTCCTTAACAACCGCTCTCTCTCTTCCCACCCACATGTATCCTGGAGGCACACACTTGACTCCTTGCTCACTTCTCTCCTCGCCCTTGTGCGCCCGTCTCTCACCTTTCTCTCCTCCCTTGCCTACCTCCCGTGCGTACCTCCCTTTGTGTCCGCGTCCGCCATCTCGCCCCCTCCTCTTTCCCCCCGCCAGGACGTATGGTCGGAGCTGGGGAGGCCGTGCTGCATGGGCGCCAAGCAGGTCATGCACGGTGGGGGGGGAAGGCTTCAAGGGAGGGGACGCGTGGGTGGGCAGGGGTGGCTTTGAGGGGAGGCGCGGTTGGGGCAGGGGTGGCTTGAAGGGGTGACAAGGGGCAGGGGTGGCTTGAAGGGGTGACAAGGGGCAGGGGTGGCTTGAAGGGGTGACAAGGGGCAGGGGCGCATGCGTTTCCTGGCAATGCATGGCGGACAGCAGCATCGAATGGATTCTCCCGGCCCTACTACTTATCATGCCTACTCCACCTTTTCCTCCATTCCTGTCCAACCATTGCCAACCTCCCCCCTGCTCCCAGCCCTCAGCGCTAACTCCTCTCCCTTCCCCCCCCCCCCTGTGCGCCGCTCCCCTCTGCAGGACTCTGCCAAGGCAATTCACTCCGCCCGTGCCCCGCCCCTCTCCTCCTCCCCCTCCTCGCCCCTCGTCTCCTCCCCCTTGCCCACGCTCTCCCCCTGCTCCACTCCCCCGGACTACATCTGGAGCTACTACACCCGAGGGCTCGATATTATCTTCAGTGGCCAGGTGAAAACAACAGAGAGCTTGCATTCAGGGGATTAACAAGGTAGAGGTTGTGTGTAAAAGGCGAGCTCCTCTGCATGTGGCGCAGCAAAACCCTCTCACCCGTGCTTGTCCATGCATGCATGCCTTCCTCACTCGTGCTTGTCCATGCATGCATGCCTTCCTCTTCGCCTCAAACCCACTCTCCCTCCCCACACCTTTGCTTCTTTCCATCTCTCCCACATTCCCCCCTCTGCCAGTTACAACGTGTGCAAGCTAGTCCTGTGCACCAACTTGTTCAACTCCCCTCCCCTCTTCTCCCCATCTACCCCTCTCTCCCCCCGACCATTCCTTCTACCCACCTTCTCTTAGAGCTACGAGGTGCGCAAGCTGGTGTTGCACACCAACCTACCGGGCCAGCCGGATTTCAACGACTACGTCAAGTGCAACTTCCGCATCCCCGCGCCCCATGCACGTGCGTTCCACCCGAGCCCACCGCTCCTCTCTTACATTCAAAACACTATGTCAAATGCAACTTCCTGCCAGCCGGGCTTCAACGAACATGTTTATTGCAAATTCCGTATCCCCGCGCCCCATGCACGTGCGTTACACACACCACCCCCACCCCCACCCCCCCCACCACCACCACTCTCCTCCTGTAAACTAAGACTGCTGCCAGCCGGGCTTCAACGACTATGTTCATTGCAAATTCCGCATCCCCGCCTCCCACGCACGTGCGTTTCCCACTGCCCTCCCCCACCCCCACCACCACCACTCTCCTGTAAACTAAGCCTCCTGCCAGCCAGACTTCAACGACTACGTCAAGTGCAACTTCCGCATCCCCACCCCCCACGCACACACATGTGCATTACCCCACGCCCATCTCTCCTCACCCTGTAAACCACCCTCCCACCTCCCTTCTCCCTGCTGTCTGCTTCCCTGATTCTACTAGGGCCATGCTTAATGCTCTGTAAGATTTGCTGCCTCTTTCCCCTTGCACTCATTTCACCATCCTGCATGCCCATCGCTCTCAAGCCCTTCCCATCGCTCTCGAGCCCTTCCCCACCCACTCTGCATCTCTTCCTCCTTTCCCTTCCCCCTTTCACTGCACACGCCATGCATGAATCTCCCAGCCCCAGATGCCCCTGCCGGGTCCGACCCATCGCTCTGTATAACTCCTGACTCCAAGTGGGACCATGTGCAGGTGAGCGAACATGTAGCCTCACACGGGTGAATTACCCTGTCAGTTTTTTATGTTTGGGTACATTTCCGCGTGAAAAGAGTGCACCGAGGCAAGTTGCAATCAATTTGCCATAAAACTTCTTTCACCCATGCTGCACGTAACAGTACCTGGGTGGATGCATAGCAGGGAACGTTTTTTACCAGATCCTGACACTTTGAATCTTATCCTCATTTTCTTTGCGATTCAACAGAAGCTATTCGGGGGAGGTGGACGGGCGGCCATACAGACCGCAGGGGCCTTGCACAGGGCCTTTGGACCCACCTTTGTGTACGGCTTCCGCCACGTGGCATTTGAGGTGAGCCGGATGCATGTATTCTTGTGAAGTTTGTTTTCGCATGTGTTGTCGGGGGTCTGTTGCGGTGCCTACATTTGTTTCTTTGTGAGACACTGTTGGTTTCTTGCAGGTGTTGAAGAATGGACACATCTGTACAGTCACCCTCTTCAAGGCGCAATGACTACTTTTCAGTGGCATGTACAGGAAGTTGGCATCTGCTGTTCCCATCCCCTTTCCTTTGTTAGCATTGCAATCCTTGCTTGTGTAAATATGTATATAGTATGAATAAATCACAGATACATGAGAATGAAGAAGATTTGATTATGGCGGCTGGCTGGCCTTTTCCGGGAAAATACGGTAGCTGGCTGGACGTGATCATAAAAATGGTAGTTTGTAGTCAAATGGGCTGAAACACTGGAAACTGTGATGGTATGGCTGGCCTTTGTATTGTGTCTATAACGATGGATGCCAAACCCCCAGATAGATTCAATTTACAGTACAGAGCTGGAAGCATCTGATTTTGCAGCTGCGATGGCATTTGGGACTTGTGTGCTGTGGCGCTGATGGTACAGCGCAGTGCAGCCTTCCTCTCACGCGCCTCGCCATAGTACAGTAGAGTCACACCCCATCCCAGCGCGGCGGCGCACTAAAGCCTACGGCGTACGTGGCAGGCCCCTCTACTGTGGCAATCAGGTATGGTCATAAGGACCAATCACGCTGTAATCCGTCGACCGTGCTCGCGTGCGATACCCTCGCCGTTTCGAGTCAGCGATCTGCTGGCCGTTGGATCAAACATTGGGGTTACTTTTGTTGGTTCGCTCTGTCGGCGGCACCACCACACCTCATGCCGAGGCGAGGCAATTCCTCCCGAACCACCCCATCCAGCCCTTGCCCCCTCGAGGCACCCACCACAACACCACCATCACCAACTGTCCCCCTACCGCATTTTGCATTTTTTCACATGTGTCTCCTGTCAACCCTGGTTTGAATTGGAACCAAATCAGCCCCACATCGCATCTACCACTTCCTTCACAACTGCGACTGTTCTTTCAAGGGAGGAGACTACCCTGCTCTCATCGTGACGCATCGCCTTTACAACGACCCGATTTTCCAGCCGTGGCGAATCGAGAAAATAGTATAATAAAACGTGCATTTGAGCCAGGAGCGCTTGTCTCTTGGATGCCTAAACACAGACCGACAATGGCCACGACTTTTCATCCGTCGCGTTTCCTCCATCTGCGACATGCGCTCCGCTCGGTTCTTCTCCTCGTCGCTGTCGGCCAATGGGGGTTCCCGACCGCCACGGCGAGTAAGCTTCTTTTTGGTCTCCAAATATTTTTTCCACCGCGCTTTGCGTACTATTCGGCACAAACTGCTTATGCCTGTTAATCCCCCCACTCCGAGTGGCATTCTCCACCTTTTTATCCACACGTCGCACAATTTTCCCCGCCTTGCCTTTCAAGACAAGTTGTCTCTCTCCCCAACTCGCCCCTAATCTACCGGCATTTTCCGCCATCTCTTCCCCCGCGCAGCGTACTCCACGGGGTGCGACCCGGCGACGGCGCCGCTGAAGCCGGCGGGGAAAAACAGCATATTCCGCTTCGCGAGCGTCAACTTCAACGCGGCCACGCGCAAGTGGGGCCTCGCTACCAGCGCCAACTGGACCGATTACCGCACGTCCACCCTCGGCCGCGTTCGCAACCAGGGCTCCTGCGGTACTGCCATCTTTGAGGCGCCTTTTTTTTGGGCGACTTTTTGTAGGCGTTTTTTGAGGCGCTTAAAAAATTGATTACCGCACGTCCACCCTCGGCCGCGTGCGCATCCAGGGCTCCTGCGGTACGACGACCGCCGCCAACTTCCTTTTTTCGCTCTCGCCCTTCCCGCGGTCGCCACGTCGTTTCGTCACTGCCTGCGTCTCGACGTCTCAAAAACCGCATCGTCCGGTCGTCTGCTCTGCTCCCACCCCATTCGTCAATGTTCGTCGGACCACACTCTTATCTTTCCAAACCTCATCTCTCCCACCCCCCGCATTCTCCACCGGCCCCCCACCTCCTCCCCGTTCCCTTTCCCGTCCCCCGCCACCTCTCCCTTCCCCCCAACAGGCAGCAGCTGGGCGATGGCGGCGGTGACGGCGGTGGAGCTCGCATACGCCGTGGCGCGCAACGACTCGTGCGACATGCAGGCGCCGCGTTACCTGTCGACGCAGCAGGTGCTGAACTGCGGCGACAGCAAAAAGGGCAACTGCACGGGCGGCTGGCCCACGACTGCGCTGGACTATGTTGTGAAGACGACGGGGAAATACGGGGGTATGGTGACGGAGGGTAATTACCCCTACAAAGGAAACTCGACGTGCACATACGGCACGAAGGGGAACGCGATGTGCGCATCTGGCAAGGACGACGACGACGATAGCGACGACGATAAGAAGTTGTCGTCGTGCGACACGTCCAAGGTGCGTCGGGGGGCCGTTGGTGCGCGGTTTCGAGTTTTGGGCTTATAACGAGGAAGTACCTGGTTAATGTGCATGGGACGAAATTATGCATGATACCATGGCAGGGCGGGGTAGGACAGGAGAGGGCACGGCAGGGGCATGTCACGGCACGTCCTGAATATTGGCGTGCTCGTGTGCTTGTTGGTGTGCCGTGTGCGTGCTGGTGTGCTCATTGCGTGCCGTTCTGGTGTGCGGTGCCATGCGTGCGCGCCATGTGTGCGTGCCATGCGTGTGTGCGTGCATGTGTGCATGTGTGCGTGCGTGCGTGGTTGACATGGCAGGTGAAGAAGCAGGCGACGGCCATCGGCATCCGGTCATACGAGAGCATCGACTACTACGGCTGGCTCGGCCTCATCCTCGCCGTGCAGGTGCGTGCGGGAAGCGCGTGAGGGGGGCGGGGGGATGGGGAGGAAAGGGGGACGGAAGAGGGAGCTGCCATGCAGGTCCATGCAAAGTAGGGGTGGGATGGGGGGGAACGGTGGAAGGGTGGGGGGTTCAGGGAAGTGAGACATTGAGGAGAGAGTAGAAGTAGGGCCGGAGCAGAAGGAACCTCCACGCCTCATGCCGAGTACCGCGTAGCGTCACAGCGTACAGACAGCTTTGCCCGCTCGCTTGCAGCCCCTAGCAGAGAAATGGCCCTCATGAGACTCACGCCCCCTGATAATCCCCGTTTTCACTGCGTCAGCCCATGCTTCCCATCCTCCCTCTGCCTCCAATGCTACTGCCCTGCATAACCTCTCTGCTTCCCCTCCGTCCTCTTGCCCAACCCCCCCCTTCCCCCCTCCCCCGCCCATCCGCCAGGTGCATCCGGCCATCGCGCTGGTGAACTCCAAGCCCGACTCCTTCCGCAACTACCAGTCGGTGAGCCCTCCCTGCTCTCCCACCCGGCCCCATTGCCACTAGCATCGCCATCAGCATCGCCATCAGCATCGCCATCAGCATCAGCATCAGCATCGCCATCAGCATCAGCATCAACATCGCCATCACCATCAGCATCAGCATCACCATCACCAGCACCAACGCCAGCACCTTTGCTACAACCCATGCCGAATCGAGACGCCCTCAAAAGACAATCAACAGCAACACCAACCTGACCACCAGTGTCGCTTCTGCCTGCTAGCTACTGAGTTTCGCCCCTGTCTTTCCCTGCTTTCCCCGCTACCCTGCCCTGCCTGGCTGGTGTACCAGCTCACCTGTGTCAAGCTCACTCACTCACAACACACCCCCTTCTTTACCCTCACACAACCCCCCTACTCCACTCCCCCGTATCCCGCACCTCCCCCAGGGCGTGTACGCGGATTCGTCGTGCGCGGAGGGGCAGGTGGACCACGCTGTCGTGGTGATGGGTTATACCTTCGCGTCGCCCGGACCCCTCTGGATCCTCAAAAACTCATGGGGCAAGACGTGGGGCATGCAGGTGAGGGCAAGACGTGGGGCATGCAGGTAAAGGGGGAGAGTGGTTGAACGTGTGCGTGTGTGCATGTGCTTGTGTGCATGCCAATGTGCTTGCTTGCATGGGCAAAGTGGGCATGTGCTTGTGTGCATGGCAATGTGCTTGCTTGCATGGGCAAAGTGGGCATGTGATGTGAGCATGTGGGCATATGTGGGCATGTGGGTACATCTTGTGACGTGTGCATGCATGTGGCATGTGTGGGTGGGTGCGCGTGGCTGCATGCACATGCCCACCCCCCTGGCGCGCACATGCCCACCCCCCTGGCGCGCACATGCCCACCCCCCTGGCGCGCACATGCCCACCCCCCTGGCGCGCACATGCCCACCCCCCTAGCGCGCACATGCCCACCCCCCTGGCGCGCACATGCAAGGCTACATCTTTTGAGTCAAGTAATAAATGCAGATGCCCCACTCCCCTGCTGCCGCATGCACGGATACATGCACATGTATTAAATAAATGCACTTGTCCCACTCCCTTGCGGCCGTGCTCCCCACGTGCAGGGATACATGCATCTGGCCATGCAGGGCGGGCTGGGGGCATGCAACATCCACTCCGTGCCTGCACTCGTGCCCGTCATCCGCAGTAAGTGCACAATCACTGTCCCCAGGCACGCATGCACGTCACATCACATCACAATCATATGCATGACTTTGAGTTGACTCAAGAGGCATGCAACATCCACTCAGTGCCAGTACTCGTGCCCGTCACACGCAGTAAGTGCGCAACCACGCTCCACACGTACGCACATATGCATTTGTACATGCATCACGCCCTCCATCCCCTTCCCTCCCTACCCTCCCTCCCTCACCCCTTTTTTCTCCCCCCTCCTTCCACCCTCACCCTCCCTCCTCTCCTTCCCACCCCACTCCTGCCAGACTCGGATCCGTGCAGTGCTGGTGAACCCTTGTGGCAATAGGAAGTGCATTCTGCACAGCAGCAGCAACACCGGATCCCCGTTCCCACCTCTATTGCCCCACCCTCTCCCCCCATCCTCCCTTCCCCCACCCCTGCCAGACTCGGATCCGTGCAGCCTGCTGGTGAACCCCTGTGGCGGCGGAGAGTGCATTTCGCGCGACAGCGGCAAGTACAAGTGCAACTGCCCGCCTCAATTCGTCAAAGTCAAGAACTCCGATGGCACCGAGTCCTGCACGCCAGGTGGGTGCTCCCACGTGCTCCCACGTGATTCCGCTTTCACTTCTTGCCTTGCACGCTGTGTGGCCCCCACCCACGTGCAAGTCAGGAACTGTGATGGCACCCAATCCAATCCAATCCAATCCAATTCAATTCAATCCAATCCAATCCAATCCAAACCAATCCAATCCAATCCAATCCAATCCAATCCAATCCCGCCCGCCAGGTAAGTGGTCCCCTTCCCACTTGCGCGCCAGGTAGGTTCCTCCCTTCCTCCTCGCGCTCCCAGCCGCTTCTCTTGTCCACTTTGCCCGCTCTTCTTCCTTCCACCTCATGCCACCTCAGGTTAGGTGCTCTGTCTTTCTGCTCAAGCTGACCCTGCCCTGTCTTCCCCTGTTGTTCCTTCCCCCCACCTCCTCCCTCCCTCTTCCCTCTTCACCCTTCTCCAGTGGTGGTGTGCACGCGAGCGGACATCAACCCGTGTGGAGTGGGCACGTGTCTCAATGACGGCAAGGGAACGCACACCTGCCTCTGCCCGCGCGGATTCACGCTCGGCACCATCGCTGTCGGCTCGGACACCTGCGTGCCCTGTAAGGCATGACACACACGCTATACAGCCACACATTACTTTGCGTGCCCTGTAAGGCCTTGACACACGCGCTATACAGCCACACATTACTTTGCGTGCCCTGTAAGGCCTTGACACACGCGCTATACAGCCACACATTACGTTGCGTGCCCTGTGAGGCCCTCACGCTCACGGATAGAGCCATGTGTGTGCCCTGCAAGGCTTGGATACCCGTGTGTGTGCGGTTGATGCCCTTGTTTACTGTGCCAGCCAAGGTGGTGTACGGACTCTACACCATTCCCAACGCTCTCTGATTGCTCAGCGTCCTTTGGCCTCTTTCCCCTCCCAACCATTCGCCCAATCTCCAGCGGACAAGACCATAAAGAGCATCAAGGTGCCGCTGACGGTGCCGGCCAAGGTGGTGTACGGGCTCTATGGCATTCCCAAGGACCAGTTCTACGACCAGAACCCCGACCTGGTAACCCCCTTACCCTGTGGTGGTAACCCTGTTATGCTGAATTTCCGACCTGGTAGCCACGTTACCCTATATTGTTACCCTTGTTAGTTACCCTGTCTGTCCTGACCTGGCTCAGTTACTCTGTAGTCTTGATCTGCCAACCCTATTGCCTTGCATCCTGCCCCTCTGCCGCACCTCAGTTTCTCACGTCGCTCCCTTCTCTCTGGTTAATCCCTCTCCTCTCCCACATCCCTTCCCAACCCCCTCCACATCTCCAACCATCTCCACCCATCTCTACCGCGCCAGGACTCGGACGACAGCAAGATAAAGAAGGGCAAGAAGGTGAACGTGAAGGCCACCTCGGATACCATCAACTGCGATCTCTTCTACCCCTGGAACTGGGTACGACCCCCCTCCCCCCTTCTTCCCCCTCACGTATTCTTTCTTTGAGTCGCCTCAAAGGAGGTGAACGTGAAGGCCACCTCGGATTCAGGCTTGTACTGATGAAGGCTTGCAAAAGCCGAAACTAGTTTGCAATGTCCCTGATTCCTTAGTGAAGATTTGTTTTAAACTGGCTCTCTCAACAACGCTTTCAAGCTAAGCACACCAGGCTCCTTCCGCCATTTTCATGGAGTTTGTTTCATTATCCTAAACAACACGAGTTGATGGAAGTAAGGCCTCCGCAGCCCACCTGTCCTCTCTTGACAGCTCCTATACCATCAACTGCGATCTCTTCTACCCCTGGAAGTGGGTACGATCTCTTTTGCCTACCCCTGGAACTGGGTATGATCTCTTTTATCTACCCCTGGAACTGGGTACAATCTCTTTTATCTACCTCTGGAACTGGGTACGATCTCTTTTATCTACCCCTGGAACTGGGTACGATCTCTTTTATCTACCCCTGGAACTGGGTACGATCTCTTTTATCTACCCCTGGAACTGGCTACGATCTCTTTTATCTACCCCTGGAACTGGGTACGCCCGTCCCCATCACGCACTCTTGAGAGTGGTGTGCACCTCAAACGCTCTCTTGTACCCCTGCACCTAGCTGAGCTTACTGCTCACGGCATGGTGTCAAGCCCAATGTGTGCCTGGTGCAACTTGTGTGTGCCTGGTGCAACTTGTGTGTGCCTGGTGCAACTTGTGTGTGCCTGGTGCAACTTGTGTGTGCCTGGTACAACTTGTGTGTGCCTGGTACAACTTGTGTGTGCCTGGTGCAACTTGTGTGTGCCTGGTTCAACTTGTGTGTGCCTGGTACAACTTGTGTGTGCCTGGTACAACTTGTGTGTGCCTGGTGCAACTTGTGTGTGCCTGGTGCAACTTGTGTGTGCCTGGTGCAACTTGTGTGTGCCTGGTGCAACTTGTGTATGCCTGGTGCAACTTGTGTGTGCCTGGTACAACTTGTGTGTGCCTGGTACAACTTGTGTGTGCCTGGTACAACTTGTGTGTGCCTGGTGCAACTTGTGTGTGCTGCACTCGGGTCACTCGGCCTGGGACCCCGCACCTTCCATTCCATCCTTGCCCCGCTCTGCACCCCACCTCCCTTCTCCCCTTCCTTCCATTCAATGAACCTCCCCATCCCCTCTCCGTTCTTCCCTCCTCTCTCCACTTCTCCGCTCCCCGTTCCCCACCCCTACCCTGCCTCTCCCCCCATTTCCTTCTCCAACAGGGCAATCGCTGTGGGCCGGTGGCAGCACTGTTTGGCATCACCATCGCTCGCCTCCAGGACCTCAACCCGGGCCTCACCTGCCCCACCGGGGCGTACCCGGGCCAGCAGGTGCGTTGAAGTTCAGTGCGTTCCAGTGCGGTGCAATGTGATCATGCAGCGCAGCACTATGTGATGTGAGTCCCCAACACGTGTGGGAGCACAGCATGAGGAAGCAGTGCTTTCTCTCCTGGCCAGCATGAGGAAGCAGTGCTTTCTCTCCTGGCCAGCCTTTGCCCTCCCTCCCACCCACCAGCGGGCTGTGCGGGATGGCAGTAGGCCCACCAGCGGGCTGTGCGGGATGGCAGTAGGCCCACCAGCGGGCTGTGCGGGATGGCAGTAGGCCCACCAGCGGGCTGTGCGGGATGGCAGTAGGCCCACCAGCGGGCTGTGCGGGATGGCAGTAGGCCCTCCAGCCCTGTCTGCACTCGCAGCGTGAAGAAGGGCGCAGCAGGGAAGAAGGGCGCAGCAGGGAAGAAGGGCGCAGCAGGGAAGAAGGGCGCAGCAGGGAAGAAGGGCGCAGCAGGGAAGAAGGGCGCAGCAGGGAAGAAGGGCGCAGCAGGGAAGAAGGGCGCAGCAGGGAAGAAGGGCGCAGCAGGGAAGAAGGGCGCAGCAGGGAAGAAGGGCGCAGCAGGGAAGAAGGGCGCAGCAGGGAAGAAGGGCGCAGCAGGGAAGAAGGGCGCAGCAGGGAAGAAGGGCGCAGCAGGGAAGAAGGGCGCAGCAGGGATTCAATTTTCTATGCCCTCCATCCCTGTCTGCGCTCATGGGCTGTGCGGGATGGTTTTTGAGAATTCTCAAAAGTCGCACCAATATCGCTCACAACACAGCTGCTTGCAACCTGACCCGTATTCTTACTCCTTCCCTCCTTCCTTTCTCCCTCTCCTCCCCTGCAGATCTGTGTGCGGGAGGGAAGCGGCCTGGCCATCCCGCTGTGTGCGCAGTATCACGTGATAGCGCCCCCGGACACGTGCAGGAGCATCAAGCAGCAGTACTCGCTCTCCTGGTCCACCTTCTTCGCCCTCAACCCTGGTGTCTTCTGCGCCAACCTCTACCCCGCTGCCACCGTCGATGGACAGAACTCCATCCCCAGTGGCGCACAGGTGGGCTCGTGTGGTGCACAGGTGGGCTGGTGTGAGTGACGCATGATCAAAGGGTAGATGCTTTTGTTGAGGAGAGTTGGTTGTTTCCACCACACGTACAACAGCCACCACCAACACCCCACCCACCCACCACCCCTCCCTCCACTTCTCTCACACCCACCACCACCCCTCTGTCCTCCCTTTCACCCCTCTCCCCTGCCCGCCTGCCCCTCAGATCTGTGTAAAGGCGGCATTCAACGCAACAATAAACTATCTCGCGCCCCGAGACACATCGGCCATGCCTTACAACGCAGCATTCACGGACCTCCTCACCACACAGCACCACTCCCTCCTCTACTCCTCTCACACCTCTGGCCTGCTCTCCGCACACAGCTTGCCTCAGCAGCAGCAGCGCCAACAGCCAGAAGGTCAGCAGCAGCTGCTGCAGCAGCAGCAAGTGCAGCCGTTGCAGAGGAGGGGGCGGTGCCAGGCGTCGTACACGGTGGTGAGGGGGGACTTCTGTGCGCGCATCATAGCCCTCAAGTTCCAATACAACACACGCCGCATGGCCTCTCTCAACAACGGCTACATATGCACCAACGCTCGGCTCTTTGTCGGCCTTGTGCTGTGCACCTTCCGCTAGCCGTATGCTTGGGTCAGCAGTGGGTGCCTATTCATCTGGGTTTCAGCAGTTTACACCCATCACCACCACCCATCATCCCCACCCATCACCCACCATCTGACATGCACAGCATTTTTTTAGATAGTAGTATACCTTATCTGACTGCATGGCTGATTTAGATGCTGAGGCGAGATAGGGTAGGGCTGAAACATCTTGTTAGTGACAGCCTAGGATCCAAGTAGGGGAATGGTGTGGTCTATTAGAGGAAATAAATTTACGTATATGGAACATGTAAGGGATACAGGATAGGAGGTCTGGGAACTTCTACAGTTCATCACATATGTAATGGCGAATTGTACAATCTGGTTTCTGTAATTAGTGTGAATTCAAGACGGCTATTCTTTCTTTCGCAGCATGCATATAAGGAGCGACAAGTGCAGCAAACTCGTGTAACCCTGCAGCAGCACCCGAACCACTTCCCACCCCAACGTTCCCCCAATTATTGCTTCCCCCACCCACCCTAGACCCTGCACCAGAAGCATCATGCTTTGGAAAGAGGAACTCGGCAGAGGGTGAGCGGACGAGCCCCACACGATACCCTGCAAGCCACGCCCTCACACACAGCACCCACGCTCCTACCCTGCTGCTGCTGCTGCTGCTGCTGCTGCTGCTGCTGCTGCTTCTCGCACCCCCCTGCCCCTCGCCTGCTCCCCCCATCCCTCCCCCATGCAGGGGTCCAAGCGAGCCCAGGGAGAGGAGGGCAGAGCGGCGGACGGCTAGAGGTGTGCCCTGCACCCACCCCGTGTAGGTCAGAGGAGGGGGCGGGGTGCTGCTACCACTGCTGCTGGGGCCTGTGAGGTTGGCAGCGCTGTGCCACTCCCTGCCCAAGTCGCCCCACTCCCTCATCCACTGTTCCACTCCTCCCTCTCTCACACCACCCACCCCAGCCTCACCACCACCACCCTTTCCTCCCACTCCCTCCCCTCCCATCCCCCCCCCCTTCCAACCCCTTCCCATCCCTCCCAACCTCTCCTCCACCCTCTCCTCCCATGAACCCAGCCACAGCCAGCCTGGCATCCCCCTGAAACGCGCTGTGCAGCGCCAGCAGCCACTCACAGCTCCCAGCGTCCTGCCCCAGGCCCCCCTGCGCCCTCCTCACCACCGCCTCTGCGTTCGCCCCTGTCAGCAGCACCAGCACCTTCCCCCTTGCCGCCCGGGCCAGAAAATCGAATCTCACAGAATCTGAGGCGAAAGGAGCGGCAGAAAAAGAGGCATGGAGCCCTAATGCTGCTTGTGCCGATGCTGGTTGTGCCGACGCTGACGCCGATGCTGGTGGTGCCGAAGCTGATGGTGCCGACGTCGATGCTGCTGATGCTGCTGATGCTGACGCTGACGAAGGCACTACCACGGGCAACACAGTGAGTCGTTGCTCCTCCACTGCCCACGCTGCCTGGCTCCATGCCGCCACCCGCTCCCACTCCCCACCCTCCCCACCCTCCCCATTCTCCACTCCTCCCTGCCCCATCACCCCGCCCAGCCCCTTAGCCTGCCCACGCTGTCCCTCTCGCCCCACGCCCAGCAGCACGAGCAGCTCTGCAGGCACGCCCAGCCCACTGCCCGAGGCATTGAACCCCACATGCCGCATGCACCCCACCACCACCTCCACCACTGCCCGCGCATCCAACCCCCCTCCCTTCCCCACCGCCGGTGGCGGGGAGAGTGGGTCAGGTAGGAGCAAGAAGGAGAACTCCGGCTGTGGCCCCATCCGCCCCACACTTGCTCTCTCCCCTTCCCTCCTCCTCGCGTTCGCCTCTGGCGTTTCTTGCCCCTCCGTTCCCCCTCCGCCCTCGTCTGCCCTCACCGCCCCCTTATCTCCTCCCTTCCCTTGTCTCTCCAGGTCTCGTTCGCTCTCACTCCCCCCCGTCCCTCTCAACCCCTTCTCTATATCCTTCTCCATCCCCCCACCATGCAATCCCTCCCTCCTCCACACCTCCCCAGGAACCACCATCCCCGCACGCTGCCGATACCCACCGCCCACCGCCGCCCAATCCACGCACCACTTGTCAAACGCCGCTTCCGCCACCCACCGGTACCGCTGCAGGGCGGCATCATGCATGTCAGTCCAAAACTCCCCGCCCGCGTCGACACCGCAGCGGGAGGAGAGAGTCCGGAGGGAGGAGAGGAGGGAGGAGCGGGCAGCATTGAGAGTAGACGCTGCTTGCCGCCCGTCGAGGGAGAGGGAGGAGCGGATGGAGGAGAGGCGGAGGGATGAGAGGGAGGAGAGTGCGGGGGTGGGTATGGAGCGGAAGAGAGCAACGTAGGGGCGCAGCCAGAATATGTAGTCAAAGAGCTTGCGGAATATGCCTGCAGGGGATGAACAAGGGAAGGGAGAAGGGAGGGACATGGGGGAAGTGGGGTTGCCTATTCCTGAGGTGCCTCACGAAGAGAGCGACGTAGGGGCGCAAGTCAGACGATGCACTCAAAGAGCTTGCGGAATATGCCTGCATGCACGGGGGGTGATAAATGGAGGGAAATGGGGTGAGTGGGGTTTTACATTCTTGATGAGTCTCAGGAAGAGAGCGATACAGGGTCGCAGCGGACGCACGCAAAGAGCGTGCGGAGTATGCATGCAGGGGAACGATGCAGCGGGGAGGAGGAAAGTGGGCAGGGGTAGAATGGCTGTCCATTCTTTAGGCGACTCATACAAAGGCCCGCCCACTCAAAGGCTTTCCCCAGGCCAGGGCTGCCCCAATGCACCCAACGCAACGCAAGCAGGTGGCATGTGCATACGTGTAGATAGGTAATTTTTCGAGACGTCTCAAAAAAACCCCAAAGCAAGCAGGTGGCATGTGCATACGTGTAGATAGGTAATTCTTCGAGACGTCTCAAAAAAACCCCAAAGCAAGCAGGTGGCATGTGCATGCGATGCTCACCCACTGTAGTAAGTGCGGTGGCTCATAAGTCCTCACCCACCTAAGCAGGGCAGCTTGTGCCTGAGCCACCACACTCACTATACTGCAACCCATGGTGCTGAACCATGCTCATGAGGCGCTGAAGTGCTTCCATGGTGTTGCGCGCATGTGTGTTGAGACATCTCAAACCCACCTGAACCGGATGGCATGCTCATGAGGCGCTGAAGTGCTTCCATGGTGTTGCGCGCATGTGTGTTGAGACATCTCAAACCCAACTGAACCGGGTGGCATGCTCATGAGGCGCTGAAGTGCTTCCATGGTGTTGCGCGCATGTGTGTTGAGACATCTCAAACCCACCTGAACCGGGTGGCATGCTCATGAGGCGCTGAAGTGCTTCCATGGTGTTGCGCGCATGTGTGTTGAGACATCTCAAACCCACCTGAACCGGGTGGCATGCTCATGAGGCGCTGAAGTGCTTCCATGGTGTTGCGCGCATGTGTGTTGAGACATCTCAAACCCACCTGAACCGGGTGGCATGCTCATGAGGCGCTGAAGTGCTTCCATGGTGTTGCGCGCATGTGTGTTGAGACATCTCAAACCCACCTGAACCGGGCGGCATGCTCATGAGGCGCTGAAGTGCCTCCATGGTGCTGCGAGCAGGCCCCATCCACTCTCTCCGCGCCTCCACCCACTCCCAATGCAACCCCACCACCTCCCACGCCCTTCTCTCGCGCACCAACTCGTCATACTCCTCCCTTGCTGCCGTGTGCACAGAGGGAGCAGAGCAGATGATGCGTGAGTCGGGTGGTCTACTGGGCGAGTACACAGAGGCGAGAGATGCCCTTTGAGACTCAGTCAAGGGTAACAGCTGACAGCTTGTAGAATTGGCTTTTAGATGAAGGAATCACGAGAGGTGAGCACAGTGGGCCTGTCGTGATTCACAGTGGAGTCAAGCTTCACGGTGCAGAGGCAGCAAACGATAGAGATAGTAGAGGGTGGGAGGGGAGGGGAGATGAGCAGCACATGGCAGGTGGTGGTGGTAAGGATGTGGTGCACATCGGGAGTTTCAGAGAACAGTGGCCGCAAAATAGACAGATAATAGAGGGTGGGAGGGGAGGGGAGATGAGCAGTATGTGGCAGGTGGTGGTGGTGAGACAAGGAAGAGAGGAGGAGGCATATGGCGGGTAATCACTCACTGTGTGCACGCATGCATCATCAATGAATGCATGTATATACATCATCAATAAATGCATGTATGTACATCATCAATAAATGCATGTATGTACATCATTAGTAAATGCATGCATATACATCATCAATAAATGCATGTATATACATCACCTCGAGCATACATCATCTGCTGCCTTTCCACTTGACACATGAGCGCCATGCACCTCTCCATGCCGTCCACTCCTCCCCTCCACACACCCCCTTCCCTTCCTGCCTTCCCACTCCTTCCCCCTTCACCTCCCTCTCCCCCTCCTGCGTCCCCAGAAGCAGCAGCAGGGGCAGCAGCGGCAGCAGCAGTGAGGGAGGAAACGGAAGCAGGTAAGATGGGCAGGAGAACGGTGAGAGCAGCAGAGAGGGCGGCGGCAGTGGGGTGGGTAGAGGTGTTGGGGGGACGGAGGAAGGAGAGGAGGAGGGGGAGCGAGGAGGGCGGAACGAGTTGGATGGCGGAGGGCGGAGAAGCAAGGAGGGTGCGGAGCTCCTGTTGAGAAGAAGAGAGAGGGGAGAGGACGAGAGAGGAGGCGGAGAGAGGGGAGAGGACGAGAGAGGAGGCGGAGAGGGGAGAGGCAAATCGAGACAAGAGGAAAGAACATCACCCTCCAATGAAACGAGAAGCCCCACACTCCCCCACCCCACACTCCCCCACCCCATACTCCCCCACGCACGTCCCCGTTGCCCCTCGCCCCACATGCACTTCCTGGCTAAACAAGTCTGGTTTTGTTGAGACACCGAAAAAACGCATTTTCTTTCTCATCCCCTACCCCAACCCGCACCCACCTCCCTGGCCGCCCCTCGCCCCCAACACCCCCCACCTCCCTGGCCGCGCTCAGCACGCGGTCCATGCTGGCACCGCTCCTCGCCCGCCATTGCGCCACGTCAGCGATCAGCGCTGCCAGCTGGCGGTTGCTGAGCTGGAGCGCCAGGCGCGTGGGGTCCCTGGGGGTGTTGGGGTCAGGAAGACGTGTGCGCAAGGGAGATGCAGCACGGGCAGAGGGGGAAACATTCAAACCGCAATGAACCATTCTGTACAGGCGTTGATGGCGTGTTGGGGGGAGGGGGAGGTGGGGGGAAGAGAGGAAGGATAGAATGAGAAAGGATAGGCGCATGCATGTGCTTGCTTGCAGTCAATCCTGCCTAGACCCTCGCCACACCCACCATTGTCACTCCCTCCTCTCGAAAACCCACTTACCACAACCCCTCAATCCCCCTCGCTTCACCCTAAACACTGTACTGACTCTTAGGTGAGTGTTTCTAAACCAAACCTTTGCTGCAGTTCCGTACCTCTGCTCCAGGTCCGTCAGTGCCAAGCCGAACCCCTCCGACAGGCCCGGCAGAGAATCAACTGCATCTAGAGCCCCTCCTGACGATGACATGGTTACCACATTGCTGGTTACCACACCGCTCGTTACATCACCGCGCAAAAACAACTCCCCTTCCCGGGGTCCCGTGTAGCTTGCGCCACTTTCTGCATCCCCCTTTGCGCCCGCTACCCCCAACGTCCCCGCGCCCCCCGCTCCACTGGCGGAAGCTACAGCCGCGGAGGGGTCAGCGCGGGGGGGATTGGCGGAGAGAAGCGAGATGGTGACAAGCAGGGAGCCCATCAGCGCGCCAAGCGCAAACGGGCGGAGGAAAGGGCGGAACGATCCACTGGAAGAATACGGGGAGGGCACGGACAGGGTAAGGGGGAGGTGGGGCGGGAGCTGAGAAGCAAAGCGGGGCGGAGGTGAGGAGCGCAACGACGGGCGCGGAAGGCGGGTAGTGGAAGCAGGGAAGGGGAAGGACGGGAGCGGAAGGACGGGAGCGGAAGGAGGGGAGCGGAAGGAGGGGAGCGGAAGGAGGGGAGCGGAAGGAGGGGAGCGGAAGGAGGGGAGCGGAAGGAGGGGAGAGGAAGGAGGGGAGAGGAAGGAGGGGAGCGGAAGGAGGGGAGAGGAAGGAAGGGAGTGGAAGGGTGGAAGCGGAAGGAAGGGAGCGCGCGAAGGTGTAAGAGAGAGATTACTATGTGGTGCCTGATTACTATGCGCGAGGGTGGAGACAAAACTCGCCTGATCTGCGTGTCGTGATGCATTAGGCTGCTCGGCGCGCCGAGCGCCGCGAGAAACGACCGCCACGCACGCATGCACTCCTCGGGGTCGACACGTGGCCGCTGGTCGGAGCGCGTGGCGCCTCGGTGCCACGCGGCCATTCTGCCGGCCTCGGATTGATGAACGGGAATCGTGCTGAGCTTATTGCATTTGTTGCGAACAAAGTCCACCCCAATTCAGTTTTGAGTTTAAACGCATCTCGATATACTGGAGGCAGCACAGTTGCGGGTTCTAGAACAAAACATCTTCACATAAAAGTAAGATGATTTACCCGTAGCTTGGGGATCATGGAATAAATTCATACATGCGAACCATAGGTAATAATGATGATGAAGACTTTACATCCGTGTCCGAATTACCAGACACAGGTGGTGACAGCAGAGGTCACCTCAGTGGCTGCCTGTGGCTAGCAGCAGCTTGGAGCAGAAGAGCTGCCAGCACCACGCACGCTCTACTATCTATCATACCAACATCTCGCTGTCTCCCCAAACACATCTGCTGTTGGCCTTGACTCTGCGGCTGACACGGCTGAGGTAGCGGACACGGCTGTCGTGGTGGAAGCTGCAGCTGCTGCTGCAGCAGCGGCGGCGGCAGGGGTGGCGGCGCAGCAAGGCACTCCTCCATAGGACCAGCACCAGTGGCGGCAGTCAGGGGCGGCAGGCAGAGGTCATGTGGGCTTGCCACAAGGCTGGGGACAGCTTGTGAGGCAAAGCAGCTCCCTGTGGTCCCAAGCAATGGCCCTGGCAAGAATGCCGCTTTTGCTTCTGCTGCAGTAGCACCAGCTGCTGCTGCTGCTGCTGTTGCTGTCGCTGCTGGTGGTTGCGGTGGTGCTGCTTGTGTTGCAGGCAATGGCTGCACAAGGGCCGCTTGTCCGGTAGTGCCAGCCACAGGCTCCTCTCTCCCCCATGCCTTGATGTCCCTCGCGCATGCAGCACGCCCGACCGTCTCTTGGCCCTGACACGTCCCAGGGGCGCTGAGTGAGAGGTCCAGCGACAGGTGCTCCCCCTCCCCTTTCTCATCCTCCCCCTGCTCCTCCTGCTTGCAGCAGCGCCGGCTCATGAGAAAAGTTCCTTGAGCACATGCACTGATGCGGGCACGGGCTGGACCGGCAGCCATGGCAGCAGCAGCAGCGGGGGCAGCACCGTCTGCATGTTCCCGCACGCCCCCCTGCTCTCCTCCTCCGTGGCCGCCCCACGCCAAGCCGTCTGCTCGAACTAGACTGCCCATCCTCGTTGTATGCAGCTCCGATACTCGCGCGCTCACTGCCACCCTGTTGTTGCCACTCCACGGATCAGCAGTCGCTGCGATGTTCTCCGTGGCGTTTGCTGCAGCAGGGAGCATCGCGGCGAGCACAGGGAAGCAGGCAGCAGCACCGGCGCCACAGAAAGCAGCGCCGGCACTCGTGTGAGTGGAGCCAGCGCGTGCCGCCCCTCCTGTCATCGCCATGTCTGTGACGTGCCGGCTCTCCTCCTCCACATTCCCCCGCAGTGCTTCACTCTCGCCAAGCCCCATCACCATGTAGGCAGCCGTGCTCGCCCTCTCGCTCGCCCTGTCGCTCGCACTGTCGCTCGATCTGGCACTCGCCCTGTCGCATGCGTCGCAGGGTGCGCCCACGCTGAGAGGGCTCGCGAGAGGGCTGGACGCGGGGCTGCTGCGGAGCGACATCGCCGCGCTTAGCGCCGCGTCTAACGGTCCAATGGGCGAATCGTCAATCGATATGGGCGACCACAAACTTCGGGTCGCCGGTTGACTGCCAGTGCTGGCGAACTGCTGCGAAACCGGCGAACAGTTTTCGCCAGCTGCAGCGCCGCGAGTTTCCCTCGCTACGTTGGCGGAGAATCTGGCGCGGAGGGCGGAAGGGGAGGCGCGGGAGATTTCTAGGGGCGGGGGAACCCGACGGGCGGCGGCGGGGCGAGGGCAGGAGGCGCCGGCCTCGTGGTTGTGCGCGCAGCGCGCGCGAACCACCGTGAGCTGCGGGCGCTTGGGGTCGAAATCGACGGTCTTGGTGGCGCGACACGGGTTGCGAGCTCGCGACCACGAACACTTGTAATAAGACCTGGCGGAATCGACGCGAGACGGCAAAGGATCGATTAGTATAAGATTGGTTGAAGATTCAGTAAGATCAGAAGAGAATGGTATTGCGGGGATGTAGCGGCAGTGGGCATGGGGGGAGAAGAACGCGAGGGGCAGGGGTCATCGAGATTGTTGAGCGGACAAGCAGCAGCATCAGCATCAGCATCAGCATAAGCATAAGCATAAGCATAAGCAAAAGCATGTAAGGTACCTCATGACAGTGTTCTTGCTAATGCGCTTCTCGCCGTACTTCAGCCACGCGTGGCCGTCAGCGTTAACGACGTCCGTCAAAGACTGCAGGTCCGGCCGGTTGATTCGGACCGCCATCACCGCCGGCTCTTGCGGCGCCGCCACTGACGCTGCCGCCATGGGACTGTCGGCTGCTGGTGCTATTGCTCCTGAGCGGATACGGCGAGTTTTATACGGCGGTCCACCGGGATCCTCGGCGCGATATCTGGCGGAAGAACAGGGCTCGGAAGCAGCGCGTGAGAGCAAAACGCTGCTTCCGAGAATTTGCTGGCTATCTGTTGTCTCAAGGTGGAAATCCATGGCGGACGCGCGTAGTGGAAACTAACGGATGATGCGGGGAGAGGGCACAGGGCCACAGTAATCAAGCAAATATTCACACGGCTATTATTCCAGGTCTGCTGTCTTTCTCCTTGTGTCCGTGGGTGGATGGTCGCTCGTGCAGGAAAAGGTAACAGCAGTCCTGCATTTGCACATAAGTCTTCCCGCTCGGCTCGGGGTCTTTCGCGAGAAAGTCGCGTTGTTTGCAAGCGATCTCTGACGAGCAAATTGCCGTTCCCAGCTTTGTTTGTTTCCCGTTGGCACTGCTCCGTCAACAATTGACGCACAACACATTCAGTTTTCCCTCAAGTCGCTCGTGAAGGAGGTGGTGAGCCACTGGGGTCATACGGACGGATGTGCGCTGCCAGGTCAGATCAGAAGCAGCATTCGTCAAGCTAGTCAAGCGGAGACGAAGTGCAAGAGTTGCATCCACAGTGGACGCGCATCACGTTAAGACTATTCCGCGTATACAGTGTTCGATTGTGTAAACCATTCTTCACACGAGATACAAATCCAATCTCTCACGAAGCACACGGCATTTCACAAATACTATCCGCAGAACTCAAGAAACCGCTTCACACTCGTTTCAGACTCATTAAAAAAGTGCTTGGCACCCCAAGTTGCGGCACAAAGCGTACTTACCTATTAACCACACGGTTTACCACACCTTATGTTCACTGTAGATAGATGGCCCTCAGTTTCCCAAGCACAGAGGGTGGCAGGTCGGGCTCCCCAAACAGCATGCTTTGCCCGCCACTGCCTGCACCCATGTCAGGCACATCACTGCCCGGCACCACTGGCTTGGGCCCACACAGAGCACCGTGCTGCTGTGAAAGCAGCTCGTCCAGCTGCCCCCCTGCCTGGGCAAACACCTGCCACTCTGGCAGCTTTTCTAGCTTCGCCTGCCATGGGTGGGGACGGAAGGGGGGAGGGAGAGGGGGGAAGGGAGGGGGAATGAGAGGGGGAAGTGAGAGATGTGCAGAGTGAGAGGTGTGCACACGTGCAATGGTTGAGAGTGAGGGTGCACACGTGCAGTGGTTGAGAGTGAGGGTGCACACGCGCAGTGGTTGAGAGTGAGGGTGCACACGTGCAGAGGTTGAGAGTGAGGGTGCATACCTGCAGTGGCGCACTGGTGGTTGCTCTGCCCCTAATGTCAAACATGAGCTGAATGATTGGGCCTGCATGCCTGTGAAACGGCACCACACACATGCACACATGCACACAGGTACACATGCACACACGCACACATGGACACAGGTACACATGCACACACGCACACATGCACACAGGTACACATGCACACACTCTCACACACAGACATACACCCACAACAAACACACACGCATGCACCCCCCCTCCCTCTTTCCTCCCCCCACACACACAGCCCCCGCACACATACACATAAGAAAGAAATCACAATGAGCATAAGACCACACATGCAAACACAAGTAAGCAGACTAAAAGATAGAGACAGGCCAGCCTAGCAAGAATTTCAACCCAACAAGTATTCAAGAATCGACACAATTCATGCTTGCCACACAGAGGTAGGAACCAGAGCAAGCAAGGTGTACCCGGGTCGTTGGCCAATGGATGTGTTGACCCAGGGAGCCGCCGTCACTGCCAGCCTCACAGGCAGAGCCAGTGGCCCTGAAGGACCTGTTGGATCTGATGCCGCTGCTGACGCTGCTGCCTGCTTCTCCCCTTCACCCTCCCCCTTGCTATTCCCCTCCCCTTCCTCCCGTTTATCCCCCTTCCCCTTGTCCTCGTTTTGGCCCTTATCTTCTGCCCCCTTCTCTTCCTCTCCTGGGCCCTCCCTCTCCACCGTCTCCACCTCATTACTAACAGCCTCGCTATCAACAGTCCCACTACCACCCTCCTCCGCCCCACCACCCGTCACCTCTGCTACCTTATTTGTCCCTTCCTCTTCTGCTCCCCCCTTCCCTCCTGCTTCCCCCTTCTCCCCATTCACGCGCCCACGCTTGGCCTCTGGCTCTACATCCACCTGGGGACGGGGGTCCGCCTCCCCCTCCCCCTGCCCGCTCCCCCGGGCCTTCCTCACTGCCCCCTCGTCCCCCCCTGCACTTGTGGGCGGAGTATCAGGGGAGGTGGAGGGGGGATCGGAAGAGGCAGACTCTGCAGCAGCAGCAGCAGACGCAGCAGCAGATTCGGAAACTGCAGCAGCATGAGCAGCAGTGGTGCTGTCGGTGGTGGTGGTGGCACTGGTCGTGGCAGCAGGTGGAGAGGAGGAGGGCAGAGCCGGCGACGAGGAGAGAGCAGTGATGGTGGATGATGTGGAGGAGGAGGAGTCATCGGAAAGAGGAGGGTCAAGGAGAGACGAGGAGAGGGATGAGTTGGGACGCTCCAGGGCGGACTGGCGAATGGACGCACCATGGAGGGGCGGATGGGGGAAGAGCGGAACGATCTGGGATTGTGAGAGAAGCACTGATGAACGAAGAATGGCAAGGCGCTTGGTTTGGAGGAGTGAAGACAGGGCAGGTGCTACACATTGCAGTGGAAATGGAAGAGGGATACGGGAAGCGGGCGGGGCCCAAGGCAACACGACTGATACATGAGCAAGCAGCACGTACCATGAGGAAGCAGCACGTACCATGAGGAAGCAGCACGTACCATGAGGATGCAGCACGTACCATGAGGAAGCAGCACGTACCATGAGGAAGCAGCACGTACCATGAGGAAGCAGCACATACCATGAGGAAGCAGCACGTACCATGAGGAAGCAGCACGTACCATGAGGAAGCAGCACACGCCATGGTGCAGCACGTTGCTCCAGGGGAAGTCAAACAGCAGCGCCGCCACCTTCCTCCCCACGCCCTCCCTTGCCAGCCTATCATCCACCACGCGCCTGCACGCCCCCAGCACCTTGTGCCTTGCACAACAGAAGCACACACTATGGGCAAGCAACAGTCACGTACCATGAGGAAGCAGCAGACCCCGTGGTGCAGCACGTTGCTCCAGGGGAAGTCAAACAGCAGCGCCGCCACCTTGCGCCCCAAGTCCTCCCGTGCCAGCCGGTCATCCACCACGCGCCCACACGCCCCCAGCACCTTGCGCAGCAGCAGCACCGCCAGGATGCGGTGCCGCCCCGCTGCTGGCTCTGCCAGCTTGCGCTGGCACTGCTGGGGCGGTATGGGTAGCTCCAGCAGGGAGGCGAACGTCGGTAGACTTTCCACCACCAGCCGCAGCGGCTGGGCATGGGGAAAACGGGAACAGGAGCAGCAGAAACATGGAAGTGAGAATATGGATGGTGGCTGGCAGGGCCATGGAAGGAAGCAGGAGGGCATGGCAGCTACGCAGGCAGCAGAACAACAAAACGAGGTGGTAGTGAGCAGCACAACAAGCCAAGGTGTCAGGAGTGTGCACGAGGGGCAGCTTGTTGAGGGGCAGCTTGGTGGTAGGACTTGGAGGAGTTGCGACGCAGGTCAGCATCCACGAGCTTTATTCCAGGCACCTCAACAACCACCAAAGCCTGAAGGCCCCTGGAACATACCAACCTGTCACCAGGGTCTCACTAAGGGAAGCTTGTTGATGGGCGAGTTGTGGTAGGACTTTGAGGGGTTGCGGCGCAGGTCAGCATCCACGAGCTCCACCACGTCCTCCAGTGCCTCCGTCATCATGCTCGAATCAAACACCCGTGTCGCTATGCTCCGCCTGCTGCTGCCCTCAGGTGCCATCTGCTGCAGCTTCTCGGATGCTTCCCTGATGAACCGGACGGCCGCGTCAATCTGCGTGGGAAGGGGACAGCGGGGGAGAGTGAACAAGAGTGAATGAGAGGCCTGTCTGGCCCCACTACCCAACGGTCATCTGCACTGATGCCACTCCTCAAAACCCATGTCTCCCAATTCATCATGTTCCTACACTACTTTCACCTTCGCCCATCCCCACCACCACAACTCGCCTCACCCGGATCTGTGGGTTGCTCGCCTTGCTGGCCAACCCCCCCCCCATCCGCTCCCCGCTTTCAAAGCCACGTGGGTCCGCCATGCCCTGCCCCTTGCCTCCCTGCGCGCCCTTCTTCTCCTGTGCTGCTGGAGGCGGGCTCTCCTCGTACTCTATCTGCAGCACACGGGAGGCACATCAGCAGGTGCATCAACAGGGTTTGAGTTGTTTCAAGATTATTGCCAAGGTGACCCTGTGTGTGGCAAAGTTAGCCCACTTGGCATCACAAGATGGATAGCTCACAAGATGTTAACCCACTAGACTGAAAAGACCTTGCGTGTGTGATAGCGTCAGAAGCCCAGATGACATGATACCACGGACAGCCCCGTGCCCCCACCCACCACCCCCACTCACCCTCACTAGCTTCCTCACAGCCTGCAGATTCGCCAGACACGCCCGCCCGGAAGCCGAAATCGGATTGCGCTTTACGTTCAGGGAAATCAAATCCGGGGCGGCGCTTGGGGCGGAGAGCGCGCAGGCGAGCTGGCGCAGGCCTGCATCCGATATAAGGTTCTCTGATAAGTCCACAGAGGTGACTGTCTCGCAGTGGATGAGCGCGTCTGTGAGGCGGCGCAGCTTCTTGTCGCCCACACGGCACCGCGCTAGCTGCACCCACATGCACAGATCCGCCTTGCTGCGCATCGACTCCAGCGCTGCCGCAAACCTGATAAAAAATAGTCGTTGAGAGTGGACGAAAAAAAGAAACAGAAAAATGAGAGAATTAGAGAGCTAAAAAAGGGGAGGGGGAAGGGAGATTGTGGAGAATGGGTGGGGGTTGGATCGGGGGTGGTTCGGTGGGAGTTGCTGGTTTAAAAGGGGCAAAACAGCGCCCACAATAAGCAGCCTTAAATGGCAAAACATGCACCTTGTTCATTTCTGAGTCAACACAACAATTGTTGCAGAAAAAAACAATCTTCTATTAAGTCTCAAGGCAGGAATAACCCTGGCAGCTTCCCAATTCCTAACCCCTCTTCTCCCTGCTCTTCCCACTCTTCCCCCTATTATTTCCCTCTCCTCCCCCTCTCTTCCACCTCTCTTCCCCATCGCTTCCCCCATTGCTTCCCCCCTCTCTTCCCCTTCTCTTCCCCTCCCCTTCACTTCCCCCAAACGACCCACCTCTTTTCCGCCACCTCAACCGGAAGCATGTCATCCAGGTCCGGCTGGCACAGGGGCGCATCCGCAGACGACGATGGGGGGAACGAAGCGGAGGGCGCGGAATTGGCGGAAGGGGAGGTGGGCGGAGAAGCGCCTGGGGAGGCGGAACCCGAGGAGGCGCTGTCACTGGATCCCCCACCCGCGCCCTTCTTCTTGCGCTTTTTCTGCAAAAACGCCGCCAAGGAAGCAGGGTAGAAAGAAGAAATATAAAAGGTTAAACAAATAGGAGACAATGTTTGAAATTGACAAGGCTCGGGTTTGCGGAAATTGGAGGACATGCGTTCTAAAACCGGTCGGCAACAAGCTCTCTCCGTCCCCGATCCCACCTGCTTTTTCTTCTTCTTTTTCCCCGTTCCGTTCGCCGTCTCCCCTCCTCCCTCTTTGGACTCGCCGCCAGAACCCTCCTGCTGCCCGTCCGACACCCCTCCCGCATCCTCCTCGTCCTCCTCATCGTCCGATCCCGCGTCGGGCGCCTTGGGATCCTGAGTTTCCAGTTCTGCTTCCAGTGTGCCACCATGATCGTCGCTCATGGCTGCCGAGCGATTATTATACCCACGGAGATTACAACGGGAAAGGGACTAAGCCGAAGGCGACGATAAGAGTTTTTCGTCGCTGTAACTTACTATCCCTTGCAGAAGAGGCGTCGTGAGTATGGTGAAACGTGCGTAATGAGGAGCAATAAAAGCGTGCCTATTGTAAACTACTAGCGAACACCAGAGGTAGGAATAAGCCAATGATGGTTTGGGAAGGCTGGGGAGTGGTAGCAGCCAATAAATGTCAAATGAAATGCTTTTGTGACACAAACTTCTGATGACGTTTCATCACATTTTTATTGTTAATTATTCCAGCTGTTTCCCGATTCCCTACATCAAAAAGTTTTTTCTATAACGAGGTCTAGAGCTTCAGCGGTGCCAGCCAAAGGCGCCTGCGCGCAGACTTTGCAATTCGCTCTGCGCCCCAACCAAGGCTTCCCGCGCACAGCTGTTGGGCCCCTGACACACAGGGCGACACCACACCGAACTGTAGCAGAAGCGCTGAAACGCGCTTGGCGCATTTTAGGGCGCGGAAGGGGAATATTTGCGCCCAACAGTTCAGTAGCAGGAGCCCCCCAGCCAGATTCCAGGGAGCCCTGGGACACGGCACAGATGTCTCCTGGCGACATTCTCCAGGTTTTCCTCTGCATCTGCTTCATGGTCCCAAGAGATCTCCACCCTTCCAACCAAGCATCACGTTTGTTCTATTTTCTTTTCAGGCAGCTTAGCTTCTGAGGCCGCTTAGTGTGCTCGTCTTCTTCACAGGGATATCAAGGCATACGAAGCTTCCGTGCTTTCGTGCCTTTCTTTCGACTCTGAGAGAAATCGCCATGGGTCAGCTCATCTATTCGTTCGTGGCCAGGGGCACGGTAGTTCTCGCTGAATATACCTCTTTCAAGGGCAACTTCAACACCATCGCCCTTCAGTGCCTGGAGAAGATGCCGCAAGAGAATAACAAATTTACGTTCCCGCATGGTGGCCACACACTAAACTATCTCCTGGAGAACGGATATGGTACGGTTTTCATCGGATCTACGGTAGATGAAATTCGCACATATGTTTCCTCCGTGGTCTTAACGTGCGAATTCTGAATCTGCAGCCTACATGGTCCTTGCGGACCAAGACGTCACCCGGCAAATCATATTCGCCTTTCTGGAGCGTATCAAGGATGACTTCAACGCCAGATATGCGAGCAAGGCTGCGAATCTTGGAGCCCATGCCTTGAACAAGGAGTTTGGGTGAGCTTTTCCACTTTTACCGCTATGGCTTTATGCTTGTCGTTTCTTCCTAAATTTGAATGACTTCCGCGATTCGTACATTCAGGCCGAAGCTGAAGGAGCACATGAAGTACGTGGCCGAGCACCCTGAGGAAATGAGCAAGTTCGCCAAGATTAAGGCACAAGTGGCTGAAGTCAAGGGTGTGATGAAGGATAACATTGAAAAGGTGAGAGCCACTTTCATTCATAGATTGCCGGAACCCGTAGCATTGGCCGCCGGTCTTACCTGCCACCTTGGTATTTCAGGTTTTGCAACGAGGCGAGAAGATGGAGCTTCTAGCGGAGAAGGCCGACGTTCTGTCGACTCAGGTAGGGTCAAAGTCATGAAAGCTTGCTCCTAAGGTATGTATAACGTTGCAACTCCTGACTCGAGCTCTGCCGAATTGGTTTGCGCAGGCTAGCCAATTCAAGAAGCAAGGGACCGAAATCAAGAAAAAGATGTGGTGGGAGAACATGAAGGTGAAGGCTGTTGTAATTGGCATTCTGGTGGTGCTCGCTTTGATCATCTGGCTCTCCATCTGCCATGGATTCACTTGCCAATGAGAAGCGGTTTAAGGCTCACTGTACATTAGCAGAATATGTCTCAGCTGAGCATTAGCCTAGTGCTCATTTTGCTTTCCCTAAATCATAGTAGCATATGTGATCTTCCATTATTGAATATTATACCCTGCACTTGCATTTGACACTCTGGATTTTCTGTCATATGTCCTAAGTGCCTGTGGTGCGGACTCAACAAGGATTCAATTTTCAAAAGGTGCATCACATGCCAACATCTATTCCTCTAGCGTACTGCATGAGGCTAAGCAATTGCATGTAACCTTATGCATGATAAGTGAGTTCTTATGATACCAGCCAGCCATATGTACAATAGCCTTATGAATGACGCACGCGCTTCGCTTTCTGCTCCTCGGAAAATTGCTTGACATCTTGAACAGTTATCACATGATCAGTACCTGCAAACTTTGCCTGCATGGGGGAGAGGGAAGGGGGGCAGGGGGGAGGATGGATGGGAGGGGAGGGAGGGAGGGGAGGGGAAGGGAGGGGAGGGAGGAAAAGAACGGAAGAACGGAAGAGGATGGAGGGGGATTGGAGGGGGTTGTAATGGCAACATGTGGCTTTTGAACTGCTGGCAGACCTTGCCAGAGAAGAACAGGGTTCAGCTATGATGGCAATCTGGTGTTCAGACTTACCAAAAACTCCTGAAAATCGGACTTGAAGCTGTTCAGGCCATGAATGATCTCCAACTGGGCAACCCGGTCCATGCTCTGAAACTGAGCTTCAACCTGTACACTAGCTTCCTCCTCCTTTTGTTGCCGTTTTTTCTTCGCTTCTTCCTCGTAGAATTCGACAGTATCCTCAACGTCAACTAGGAAGTCCACCCCTTGCTCCTCGTAAAATCTGGAAAGAGCAGCAGCATGGAACATGAGCCCCTAGACATGAACAGAAATCAAGAGTAAAATTCCTAATCAAAGCCACACCTGGTGCATTTTTGGCAGTTGCAGATGGAAGCCCTCCACCCATCTGTGAGAAAAAGAGGGCCGACTTCAGAATCATCTGAGCCTGCAAGGGCGTCAGTGTCTGGAACTGCAGTAGTTGCCTCTACTGAACCATTAGTGACATTTGGACCCGTTGGCAAGTGTTCAACCTTCGTGGTGCTTGTTGAATCACCCGCGGTTTTCTTTTTGAAAAAAGAGCTTAGAGTTCGCCCCCTCAAAACAGAGGCTAGCTGGCAGTCTGCTTCGCTGTCTGCGACCGTTGTACCAGGACCAGGACGTACATCAAGAGCGCCTCCTTGAGATGAGCAAGTGACCTGAGGTTTGACAGCATCCACATCCTCAGCATGATGTCCACAAGCGGCTACTGCGTCGTTGCATACTTTGATGCCTGGAACTTCGATACTTGCTTCGTCCCCATTGGCATCCGCTTCCTCATTGCTCACCAGTCCAATTTTGCTTTCATTCCCACATGAAGAAATGTCACCAGCACGCTCTGGAGCTAGCAAGAGGTGAGGATACAGCTTCAAGAAACGGCACTTCAAGGAGGCGCAGTGGTCACATATCAAGTTCGAGAATTCTTCAGGAGCCTGCAAAAAGGCAGATACGCAAGTTGGATTCCATAGATGCTGCACATGGCAGAACAATTAACCACGTTTGTAAGGCATACCTCAAACCCCGGCTCAAGGCCCAGATGATGCTCATGGAACCAATCTTCGCACACAACACATTGTATCATTTCCGGTTCTTCTCCTTCGGCCTCGGCCTCTGGATCAGGATACGGCCTTCGACAGTTGCAATATACACCCGCATAATTCTGATTGTACTCGTTGCGCTCGTTCAAAAGATCTTTCTCAGGTTTCAGCTGGCATGAAGGAACAACCGACCCTTGAAACCTGGATGTGCCACAGTCACACCGGAACCGGCGCTTCGTATAGAGCTCCACAAGCTAACGAATGGGAGGAAACGGCAAGTAATGAGATGTATGTGTGAGAGACGGACCTGTAGAAAAAGTGCTGCCTGGAGAGGAAAAGGTGCGGAATAGACGTGACGGAACAATTATTACCTCATGCCCATCATGACACTTCAGTGAGCATGAAGTGCAAATTCCAGCCGGCTTCCAATCATCAGGCAATATGCCTCGTGGGTCCTCTCGACTGCTTCCTCCACTTCCTCCACCGCCTCCTTCAGTTTCCTTGGACGGAGTTGGAATTTTGGGCGGAGGCACGCACGTAAGGCAGGAATAGAGAGCCTGTCGCTTACGGTAGCCCATATCGTATGTGCACTTATCGGGATCATCCGCACCGAGCACCGCGAAAGCTTCCTGTAGCAGGCATAACGTTCATGCGCCGTGCGTCCAACATGGGTTAATGGATCACACGATATTGTGGATTTGTACAAGTCTACTACAGGAATCAGACTGGTACGTGAAGCAGAGCTATGTAAAGAAAAATGAGACACGCACCTCGACTCTCTCTTCGTACTCGTCTGCCGTCATCGCCTCCTCCTCCTCCTCCTCAAATATATCCGCCATGGAAGGCGCGGCGACAAAAAACGCTAGAACAAGATGCAAGCAAGCGAAGATCAGAGCGCGAGAGTAGTGCAAGAAGCCTGTCACAGAATGGCGGGAGCAATTAGCCTGGATGACAGAAAGCCAAATTCTGTGCCTGCATGAAGCAGCCACAAGCGGACTGAGGGGGTGTCCAGCGCGTACATTTACCGTTCATAAATCCCATCAGTTACCACATTTGGAGCTGTAACACTGCATTTTACTGAAAGGGTGGACATGACCAACAATTGTACATGAGACGGCACGCCAGCTGCACGTACCTCGAGTCGTGTGACTCACGGTACTGCATACAGCGTGCGCGCGAACTCGGGTACAGTATCGCGTCCAACAAGCTACAGCAAGTGCCCCCCCGTATTGCTCGCAATACTTCGCCAGTGCCGCGCGACTCTCGCCGAAACCACCTGCGCGCTGGCAACACACATTGCGCATGTGCGAAAAAGCTAACCCTACTGTTCACGAGGGAACCGGCTACCTCGGTTTCCAGGCTGTTTTCGCACTGTTGATCTTTGTGTGGGTGGAAATGTGTCCGCGCGCTGGAAATTCCAGAAACTGTGGACTCGGCTCAGTTGGAATTCGTTTTGAGGTACAGTGGTCAGTCTTGAACCCTGAGACGTGTGTGGGCTCTAAAAATCCCGAAATGAACGCGCTGGACACGCC